GAGGTGGAACGAGAAAACACTATTTATTTGCCTACTGGAAGGAATCTAACCTCATGCATAACTTCCTTTTCTTCTTGGCCTGCCATTAATCATTCTAAGTTTAAATTCTTTTTCTACAACCTTTCAGCTTTTATCTTTGGAATTCTCTTTGATCTACATCCTTACATGCCCTCCTACTCATCCTACAACCCGGTCCCGTCTACAAGGTCCTCTCTAACACCGTACATGACGTCTCACAGAGCTAACTGGGGTGGAACTGCGGTACACTAAAAGGTTGGCATAGTAAACCATGGTGTACTGGTGATGGTTCAGTGTTGGGGTCTGCCAGTTCAGTGTTGGGGTTCTGGCTCAGTGTTGGGGTTCATGGTTCAGTGTTGGGGTTGATGGTTCAGTGTTGGGGTTCATGGCTCAGTGTTGGGGTTCGGTGGTCAGTGTTGTGTCTGCGGTTCAGTGTTGGGGTTGATGGTTCAGTGTTAGGCTGATGGTCGTGTTGGGGTCTGCGGCTCAGTGTTGGGGTTCATGGGTCTGTGATGGTTCAGTGTTGGGGTGATGGTCTGTGTTAGGGTGATGGTTCAGTGTTGGGGTTGATGGTTCAGTGTTGAGGGATGGTTCAGTGTTGGGGTTGATGGTTCAGTGTTGAGGGTTGATGGTTCAGTGTTGGGGGTTGATGGTCCAGTGTTGTGTTGGATGGTTCAAGTGTTGGGTTGATGGTTCAGTGCTGCTGATGGTTCAGTATTAGGGTTGATGGTTCAGTGTCAGTTGATGGTTCAGTGTTGGGGTTGATGGTTCAGTGTTGGGGTTGATGGTTCAGTGTGAGGTTGATGGTCCAGTGTTGAGGTTGATGGTTCAGTGTAGTGATGGTCCAGTGGTGATGGTCCGTTGGGGTTGATGGTTCAGTGTTGGGGCTGATGGTTCAGTGTTGAGGTTGATGGTTCAGTGTTAGGTTGATGGTTCAGTGTTAGGGTTGATGGTTCAGTGTTGGGGTCGATGGTTCAGTGTTAAGGTTGATGGTCTAGTGTTGGGTTGATGTCCAGTGTTAGTTGATGGTTCAGTGTTGGGGTTGATGGTTCAGTGTTAGGTTGATGGTTCAGTGTTGGGTTGATGGTTCAGTGTTGGGGTTGATGGTTCAGTATTAGGGTTGATGGTTCAGTGTTGGGTTGATGGTTCAGTGTTGGGGTTGATGGTTCAGTGTTGGGGTTGATGGTTCAGTGTTGGGTTGATGGTTCAGTGTTGAGGTTGATGGTTCAGTGTGAGTTGATGGTTCAGTGTTGGGGTTGATGGTTCAGTGTTGGGGTTGATGGTTCAGTGTTGGGGTTGATGGTTCAGTGTTAGGGTTGATGGTTCAGTGTTGGGGTTGATGGTTGTGTTAGGTTGATGGTTCAGTGTTGGGGTTGATGGTTCAGTGTTGGGGTTGATGGTTCAGTGTTGGGGTTGATGGTTCAGTGTTGGGGTTGATGGTTCAGTGTTGGGGTTGATGGTCAGTGTTGGGGTTGATGGTTCAGTGTTAGGGTTGATGGTTCAGTGTTGGGGTTGATGGTTGTGTTAGGTTGATGGTTCGTGTTGGGGTTGATGGTTCAGTGTTGGGGTTGATGGTTCAGTGTTAGGGTTGATGGTTCAGTGTTGGGGTTGATGGTTCAGTGTTGGGGTTGATGGTTCAGTGTTAGGGTTGATGGTTCAGTGTTGGGGTTGATGGTTCAGTGTTGGGGTTGATGGTTCAGTGTTGGGGTTGATGGTTCAGTGTTGGGGTTGATGGTTCAGTGTTGGGGTTGATGGTTCAGTGTTAGGGTTGATGGTTCAGTGTTAGGTTGATGGTCCAGTGTTGGGGTTGATTTGTGTTAGGTTGATGGTTCAGTGTTGGGGTTGATGGTTCAGTGTTGGGGTTCTGGTTGATGGTTCAGTGTTGGGGGTTGATGGTTCAGTGTTGGGGTTGATGGTTCAGTGTTAGGTTGATGGTTCAGTGTTGGGGTTGATGGTTCAGTGTTGGGGTTGATGGTTCAGTGTTGGGGTTATGGTTCAGTGTTGGGTGATGGTTCAGTGTTGGGGTTGATGGTTCAGTGTTGGGGTTGATGGTTCAGTGTTGGGGTTGATGGTTCAGTGTTGGGGTTGATGGTTCAGTGTTGGGGTTGATGGTTCAGTGTTAGGTTGATGGTTCAGTGTTGGATGGTTGGGTTGATGGTTCAGTGTTGGGGTTGATGGTTCAGTGTTGGGGTTGATGGTTCAGTGTTAAGTGTTGATGGTGGTTCAGTGTTGGGGTTGATGGTTCAGTTGAGGTTGATGGTTCAGTGTTGGGGTTGATGGTTCAGTGTTAGGGTTGATGGTTCAGTGTTAGGGTTGATGGTTCAGTGTTGGGGCGATGGTTCAGTGTTGAGGTTGATGGTTCAGTGTTAGGGTTGATGGTTCAGTGTTGGGGTTGATGGTTCAGTGTTAAGGTTGATGGTTCAGTGTTGGGGTTGATGGTTCAGTGTTAGGTTGATGGTTCAGTGTTAGGGTTGATGGTTCAGTGTTGGGGTTGATGGTTCAGTGTTAGGGTTGATGGTTCAGTGTTAGGTTGATGGTTCAGTGTTAGGTTGATGGTTCAGTGTTAAGGTTGATGGTTCAGTGTTGGGGTTGATGGTTCAGTGTTAGGTTGATGGTTCAGTGTTAGGTTGATGGTTCAGTGTTGGGCTGATGGTTCAGTGTTGTGATGGTTCAGTGAGTTGATGGTTCAGTGTGAGTTGATGGTTCAGTGTTGGTTGATGGTTCAGTGTTGGGGTTGATGGTTCAGTGTTGGGGTTGATGGTTCAGTGTTAGGTTGATGGTCCAGTGTTAGGTTGATGGTTCAGTGTTGGGGTTGATGGTTCAGTGTTGGGGTTGATGGTCCAGTGTTAGGTTGATGGTTCAGTGTGGGTTGATGGTTCAGTGTTGGGGTTGATGGTTCAGTGTTGGGGTTGATGGTTCAGTGTTGGGGTTCATGGTTGAGTGTTGGGGTTCATGGTTGAGTGTTGGGGTTGATGGTTGAGTGTTGGGGTTCATGGTTCAGTGTTGGGGTTCATGGTTCAGTGTTGAGGTTGATGGTTCAGTGTTGGGGTTGATGGTTCAGTGTTGGGGTTGATGGTTCAGTGTTGGGGTTGATGGTTCAGTGTTGGGGTTGATGGTTCAGTGTTGGGGTTGATGGTTCAGTGTTAGGATGGTTGATGGTTCAGTGTTGGGTTGATGGTTCAGTGTTGGGGTTGATGTGGTTCAGTGTTGGGGGTTGATGGTTGGTTCAGTCTCTGTGTTCGGCAGGTCAGTGTGTTTTGGCAGGTCAGTGTGTTTGGCAGGTCGGTGTGTGTATGAGTCGGTGTGTGTGTGTGGCACGTCAGTGTGTGTTTGGAAGGCCAGTGTGTGTTTAGCAGGTCAGTGTGTGTTTGCCAGTTCAGTGTTTGTTTAACAGGTCAGAGTGTTTGGCAGTTCAGTGTGTGTTTAGCAGGTCAGTGTGTGTTTGCCAGTTCAATGTTTGTTTGGCAGTTCAGTGTGTGTTGAACAGGACAGTGTGTGTTTAACAAGTCATTGTGTGTTTAACAAGTCAGTGTGTGTTTGGCAGGTCAATGTGTGTTTGGCAGGTCAGTGTTTGTTTAACAGGTCAGAGTGTTTGGCAGTTCAGTGTGTGTTGAACAGGACAGTGTGTGTTTAACAAGTCATTGTGTGTTTAACAAGTCAGTGTGTGTTTGGCAGGTCAATGTGTGTTTGGCAGGTCAGTGTGTGTTTAGCAGGTCAGCGTATGTTTAACAGGTCAGTGTGTGCTTAGCATGTCAATGTGTTTGGCAGGTCAGTGTGTGTTTGGCAGGTCAGTGTGTGATTGTGGTTGGAGGACCGTTGAAGGAGGACGAATGAAGGGCCGTTGAACTAGAGGTTTGTGGTTACGGGGGGGTGAGCAGTGTGTGTGTACGTGTTTTTTGCCCCTCCGTCTACCTGTGACCAAGAGAACACCTGGCAATTTCAAATAATGGTGTGGGTTGTGGAGGGAGAACTTACCATTGCGTTTATAAACACACACACACACACACACATATATATATATATATATATATATATATATATATATATATATATATATATATATATATATATATATATATATATATATATATATATATATATATATATAACAGAGATAAAAACTGGTGTTGTGAATATTGCTTGTCTCAAGATGGGTCAGCACTTCGCCAACGTTTTGCTAAATGTATGCAAATGTCGATATGTCTTGTGCTGGCTAACCTTACTTGGTGTCTCCTACTGTGTCTTATAATGTTCAATTACAACACATTATGCACCAGCATAATCTTAAAAAATAACTAGCCTATGTTTACACGACATATATCTAATACAACGTAACGGAAGGAGACACCTGTGTATTTAACAGTGAGTAAGAAACAGTCAGTGGTAGTCACGCTCAACGTGCTTGCAGAGTTTTGCGAGTTAACATCGCTCCTACATTTTTGTTGCTTTAGAGTGAAGAAACACAGGTAAACACCATATATTCTGCAGTGTGTTATATTTAACATAACACACATACAAGTAATATAACACTGTACCATCAATTACTTAGCAGCATAGAAGGGACGTCACAGATCATGTAGTGAGTTTGTGGTAGAAGATGTCTAAAAGACCCTTTAATTAATACATAAAACAATTTATTTTTCAACATCCACTTATATTTCAGAATTTTGCTGTTAATGTGAAACAAGTGAGTCCCTCACATACCGATAGAACGCAGAACCAGAGCAGACAATTCCTAGCAAGTTGTTGCGTCATTCTCTAAAGAATGCACTGCCATAATTAAAGCATTGTAAAAGTATCGAGTAGTGGTTTGAATTTCTCTATGATGCAGCTCTGCTATTGTTTTCGCTACTTTTTCACAAATGGAGCGGCGCTACAGCTAACCCTACTAAAAAAATATCTCAGCTATGTACCGCCGCTACTTAAAGTTCCCAGCACTTACTATTACTTACTACCCCAGTAATAACTTCACTACTACTTACGTTCACCGAGGCTTTCCGTAATGTCAAGTATGATGATACCCTGGCCGGAGGTGACGTTACACACTGCAAGATAACAAATATGGAATAAGTAAAGCAATAGCATATACATCATGTAAGTAACGCTACACTATTACATAAGTAAGTAGCAAGACACTATCACTTATACATACATACACCTCAACCCTCCAGGATTCGAACCCACGGCCCACGAGCCCATGACTGTGACCGGGGAACGCTACCTCTGGACCACCAGGATGCTAAAAGCAGTCCTAGACTCTGTTATGTTTCACACAAAGCCGTATCACGTAGGTGGTCAGAGTAACGCTACTCTGACCACCTACGTGATACGGGTAGTCCCCATTAGAGGTTCACGGCGCCATAAGCTCGTTGAACAGGCTTTGTGTGAAATATAACAGAGTCTAGGACTGCTTTTAGTATCCTGGTGGTCCAGAGGTAGCGTTCCCCGGTCACAGTCATGGGCTCGTGGGCCGTGGGTTCGAATTCTGGCGGGTTGAGGTGTTGATTGTATGTAGAAGTCCGCGTGCTTTATTGGGCTAATGAAATATACTGTACAGTATGTAAGTAACAAGACTGATTGCAGGCATTGAGTATCACTGAAATTTACAGACGTTGAGTAACACTGATTATAGGCGTTGAGTAACACTGATTACAGGTGTTGAGTAACACTGATTACAGGCATTGAGTAACACTGATTAAAGGTGTTGAGTAACGCTAATTAATGGCGTTGAGTAACATTAATTTACAAAAGATAAATAAAAATCATTAAGAGTTAATTAATATACATTATGCATGTCAATTACAATCAATATCAGTTTTCTGTATTCAACTGTGACCCATACTCATTACACCTAAACAATGGTTTAGTGAGGGTATGACCTACATTATAAACTGATGTCTGTTGTAGGTGGATGGAAAGAGAAAAGGCTGTAGAGAGAACCATACACTAAACTGCGAGGACTGAAGACGGAAAGGATGATGAAGGTCGACTAACGGAGCTCCCGTGTATAGCCTAGTGTGGGTGGCACGATAAGAACCTTGTGTATTGCGACTGGGACTGAACTGAATTTTATGTCATTGTGTTAAAAAATGTTAGATGTTGTGTAGAAATAAAGTGTGGACGAGGCTAAAGAAATAATTCTATTATTTTAGGACGCAATCCTTCCATTGTTAGAAATTATGTGATGATGAAAAGTTAATCGATATACTGTACTAAGTAAAATTAATGTTTGTGAGAGACATGAGAGCTTGTCTTGGTAATATTAGTGTGACAAGGTTTTTCGTGCCCAATCAAGACAGTTGTAGTATTGCCGGGGATCTGTAGTGGCAGCAGACTCAACAGACACCAGCGAAATCGGATACAATTTTACGCTTTTATTTGTGTCAACAAAGAAGTGTGAGATGCTGAAAGGAATAGAAAGGTGATCAACGTCACCAATATAGAGTAAGAAAAGGGTAGGAAAAAATATTGAGCAATGAGGCACTTCAGTATTGATAAGAAATGAATCTGAATGTAAATTATCCTTGCAAACAGATGTTGTCATTCATGAACTTGATGTTTCAGAGTATAACACACAGAGGAAGGGGTTCAGGAACAAAGAGGTTGTTTAGACAAGGGTGTGGGAAAGATGAAGGTATTCGTGACACGTTGGAATGAAGTTTTTGTCTGCTACTGATTTTTTTTTTTTTTTTTTAGATTTTGCTCTCGGGAAATAAATATTCTAGTGAATTGTTTTCGTATGAACTTGTGCTTGGGCTTTTAACTATAAAAAACGGAAAGAAGTTTCTTGTCTCATAAGATTTTAAGGAAAAAATGATCCTGTGTAGGTGCCAGGGCGTATTAGTGTGAGATGTTTTTGTTCAGTGAGTTGCAGGCGCTCGTGACGTTGGTGCCACGAAAGTATTTGCTTTGATGTCTACTGTGATACCCGTTGTTCTTCTGTATTCATTTGCAACGAACTTTGCTGCTTTTGTGCTTATTTTTAAGTATATTTATGTGTGAGTGTACATAGGCCGTATAAATGTGATGTAGGAGATAGTGTCTATAAGCAGTGTGCACTTATCAAGGTTCCTTTCGAGAAATGCTAGAGTTCAGTTAGTTTTGGCTTTTGTGTTATTTTCGTTTTTGTTTTGCATTAAGTCTACAGCGAAGTATATGCCGAGGTGTTTGTGTGTGGCTGTAAAGTGCTCAAATGTGTATTGTGGAAGAAGGTTTGGTGAAGAGGTCGAGACAATTCGTTTCTGTTCTAAATGACATCCGCCACGTTCCCACTCCATCACTGTATCTAAGTCAAGCTGAAATAGTCTACACACATCATTTGTCTTAACTGGTTTATGCATTAAAGTGTCGTTTGCAAAAAAAAAAAGCTGAATTATAGTTTACAAGGAAAGATAATTTACTGTATATGCAGTAGGAAGACGAAAAAGTCTAGTCATTTGAGTGACACAGGAGGTAACAGTCAGGTGGAGGACCACCAATAAGTACACGTGTTGTGTCCTGACAAAAAGACTGTGATCCAGTCAAGGATTGACCCTTTGAGGCAGTTTTTCTTAAGATTACGGGTCAAGTAAGGCTCTTTTTTTAAGGCTTTGGAAAAATCTAATATAATGGCGGCACCTTGACTCGTGCCTAGTCTGTTTAGGAACTGTGAGATGTGAGGAGTGACATTAAGTTGTGATTTGTATTTAGTTCTCCTAAAAGCAAGTTTGGAGTTTGTTTAAGTTGTACGTCCAAGTGATTCATTTTGTGTTTGTGTATAAGGTGTTCAAGAACTTTGCAGAGAATGGACGTGAATACTATGAAGCTGTAATTTGATGCGTTTGCCCAAAGCCAATGAGAGGAATCTCAGGGTGATATTGTAACCAGGAAGAATGTGTGCACAGTAGTTAGGGTTATAAGCTGGTATGTTGTCTAGTCCAGTGACTTTTGCCTCTTCCAGTGTCTCATGAAGCTTTTGTGTGCCGTTACTAGAGAAGGCCATGCGTTCGGTAACTAGTTGTTGTCTTATGTGAACTTTGATTAAAACTGTATTGAGTATTTGTGTATTATCTCTGGGTTTAGTAAGGTAACATCCTTTTTAATATTGAAAAAGAGTTTTGGGAGTTTAATTAACATATGTTTGCAAAGTGTGTAGCTGTGGCCGTGTGTTTTTCTTTCTTATTGTCCGTCTTTTAGTGGGTTTTGTAAAGTGTGAAGTAAGTCCCGTCTTTCTACAACCTTTTTTTTTTGGCAGGTACTGGGATGGTGTTATGTATGGAATGTAAACGTTTATGCGGATGTTCCAAATTGAGCTTGAGGGTCGGATGTAAGTTTGTTGAAGAAAAGTTAGTTGCATAATTTATAATGTTTGTTCTGCGTTTTTGTTTTGTCTTGCTGGTTCAAAGTTCGCATTAATAAATAATCGTCGTCAAGGTCACTGAGTCTAAGCTATAACTTTGATCTTAATTAGAAGAAAGTTGTTTGTGAAGAACAGGTAAAGTTTGTTGGATGTCTCTAGTTGATTGTTAAGATGTCTGTGTCTATTCATTGAGATCTGTATTTGTGTTGATTCAAGTAATGTTTGAGTGAACGCGAATATGCTTTGTCTGTAAATGTTTCACGGAGTTCTCGTCTGTCTGTGTGTTGGTGGGGTTTTGGATGTCAGTGTCAGAGAGATCAACGAGTGAGATGGATGTTCAATCTATGTCTAGGAGGTTGAAGTCACCTGCGAGTCTGATGTATGATGAAGGAATGTGGAAAAGTACGGTAACGTGGTGGAAAAATCTAGAGAATCGTTATGAAGGAGTGTGGAGAAAATGTAAGAAGACGGAATATGGAAAAGAAATATAATGAAAGGAGTGTGGAGAAGGGGTGTAATGGAGTGGAATAAAGAAGTGTGGAGAATGAGTACTGAACCTGTAGTGTGAAGGAGTATGAAGAAGGTGTGTTGTGGAGAATCAGTGTGGTAGAGCATGGTTAAAAAATGCAGTGATATGAGTACGTTAATGGTGTGTGATAATGACTGAGAGAGAAGACTTGTTGGGGTGTTCAGTTAGGTGAGCGTGGCCCTGAACAGCTGCGTGATGTAGCTGGAGGTCTACTAGCACTATTCATAACTGTAAAGTGTTAACATGTACTGCACCGCATTACTTAAGAACAGTCGATACTATTCATAAAACCTGCCTTCTAGTTATTTCACATCGTGTTCCTTTGTTTACTATAAAAAAAAGAGCTGATCACATATTTATACTGTACACAGGAAGTCACTGAAGACGTGCGCAGCCACATGCACATACATAAATAAGAATTCAACGCCCATATGCATTCACAGTTTATCTCTCTCTCTCTCTCTCTCACACACACACACACACACACACATTGAACCACCCTTAACAAATATACATATACAATACGTCTATAACTTGCCACCTAATAACAGAATATCAAAATCAAATACATATTCTTGAGGCCGTGGGAGTTTTAGTCCTGCTCTCAGTCATCCTTGATGTATGGTCTGGTGTTATGGTAAGTGTCAGGGTCGACGTTAAACTAGGAGCGACACTTAAATAGTAATGTGTTGGATGCGGAGCTTTATAACAGGAAAGATGTGAATTGTTAAGAGAGGTCTATGAGGGCAAACTGCACCTTGTGTGTGCACTCAAAAACAATGTCTTAAGAACAACAAATATCAGTCGAATGGCGGAGCGATAAGAAAAGTCAAGATTTATTTCATAATTTAAAAGTGACTTAGTCCAAGTATACCTGGGAGACAACGTGCAAGGCGACGAGACACGTACAACAAACTGTGAGAAAAGCGGCCATGATGACAATTACATGGAGAGAGTAATAAGAGTCGTGATTACGGAGGTGATGAACAAAAGACGTTCAATTCACAGAATCTCACACCCATCAGTTAACAAACGGATTCATTGTAAGAAATCATCAGTAAGCAGTTAATGTGGGATAATGGAGGATCTCGTGAAAACGGTGTAAAGCGCCAAGATGTGGACTTGTTTACATAACACGATGGTTAATACGACATGTGAATAAGATGGAAATAGCAAAA